CCGCCCCTCTCCCTTTTTATTTCCCTTTAACACAAACACGTACATTCACATATTTTATATTCACCCTTGATCAACCGCCCCTCTCCATGTTTTTTTTCGTTTACTCCTTTACACACACACACACACACACACACACACACACACACACACACACACACACACACACACACACACACACACACACACACACACACACACACTTACATTCTCATCTATTATATTACATATTCGCCCTTGACCACAACACCCCTCCCCCCTTTTCATTTGTCCTTTACACACACATACATTCTCATATTCGCCCTTGACTACCATCACTCCCGGTTTTTTCCCTTCCTTTACACACACACGTACATTTACATTCGTCCTTGACCGCCAACACCCCCACCCCCTTTTTTTTTCTCCTTTACAAACACAGATACATTCACTTATTAAAAAATACTTATATATGCCTTTGACCAACCCCCCCCCCCCCTCCCCCCTCTCCTTATTTGTCCTGTCGTGTCCAGCACACCACGCCCAGGGACGGGGTCACTGATGACGACATCATCCAGGCCGGGGCGGGGTCGGGTTGCCAGTTTGACAACTCGGAGGACTGCTCGGCGGTGGGTTCTGGCATAGAGGAGATCATCACGCCCGTCGTCATTGTGAAGACCACCACCCCGCCACCCACCACAACCCCCAAGTGAGTTGGGGTTTTTTTTTGGTTTTTTTTGTTTTTTTTGGGGGGGGGGTGCTTGTTAGTGTGATTTTGCCCCCCGTGGGGTTATATTTCTCTTTTGTTGTTTGTTATTTATTGTTGTCTTTTGTTGTTTGTTATTTATTGTTGTCTTTTGTTGTTTGTTATTTATTGTTGTCTTTTGTTGTTTGTTATTTATTGCCGATGACATCGATGGATTAGCAGGAGATGAACAGGAGCTCGCCACACTAGTAGAGCGACTGGACACAACCTCAGCAGCCTACGGCATGGAGATCAGTGCCGAGAAAACCAAGCTAATGACCAATAACACCAATGGCATCAACGCAGACATCAAAGTCAGGGGCTAGAAACTTGAGACCGTCAACAGCTTCAAATACCTTGGATCAATCGTCTCAGATGAAGGCTCAAGACCAGAAATTCTCTCTAGAATCACGCAAACAACAGCTGTGCTGTCAAAACTGAAGCCTATTTGGAGGGACAGAAACATCACGTACAACTCAACAATCAGACTAATGCGCTCACTGGTCATCTCAATACTTTTATACGCCTGCAAGTCGTGGACACTAACAGCAGAATTAGAGAAAAAGATTCAGACCGCAGAGATGAGATGTTACCGCAGACTCCTTGACATCTCGTACAAAGACCACGTTTTAAATGCTGAGGTACGAAAGAGAATCACCAACGCAGTGGGGCTGTATGAAGATCTACTGACCACAGTGAAGATAAGAAAATTAAAATGGTATGGGCATGTCACAAGATCCACAGGACTTGCCAAAACAATCCTGCAAGGAACCGTACAAGGAAAGAGAAAGAGAGAAAGGCAGAGAAGGAAAAGGGAGGACAACATTACAGAGTGGACAGGAAAGACAACGGGTGACAATCTGAGGAAGGCAGAGGACAAAAATAGATGGCGAGAGCTGGTTTTCAGATGCAGTGGTGCCCCCACGGTTGCCCCAACCACGGGATAGAAGAGAAGAAGAGAAGAGTTTGATTTTGGTTTGTTTGTTTGTATTTTGCTCTTGTTGGGTTTTTTACGGTTTGGAGTTCTCTTTGGTTTGGGGAGGTTGTCTTTTGTTGTTTGTTATTTATTGTTGTCTTTTGTTGTTTGTTATTTATTGTTGGCTTTTTGTTGTTGTTGCTTTTTAAAATTTGTTTTGTTTTTGTTTGTTGTTGTTTTGGGTTTTTTGCTTGTTGGGCTTTTTTACGGGTACAGGATGTTGTTTGCTTTTTTCTGTGTGTCTATTGTTTTAATGTGTTGGACGAATTTAGGAAGGTGGGTATCTCTCTCTCTCTCTCTCTCTCTCTCTCTCTCTCTCTCTCTCTCTCTCTCTCTCTCTCTCTCTCTCTCTTTCTCTCTCTCTCTTTCTCTCTCTCTTTCTCTCTCTCTTTCTCTCTATCTGTCTCTCTCTCTCTCTCTTTAACACACACACACACACACATACACACACACACACACACACACACACACACACACACACAAACACTCACACACCCAAACATCCTCTCACCCACTCACCCACCCACTCACTCATTCACAACACACCCCTTTCTCTCCCCCACCCTCCTCAGGCCCGTCCCCAAATGTCAAGGTGAAGGCTGCGAGACTTCCTCCCAGCTCCGTCAACGCCCCGACCCCTCCCTTCCCTCCTCCACCCTCTCTCCCTCTGGCTCCGGCCATGACTACGGAGGGGATGGTGGGGGCAACGGCGACATTGATTACGTGGGTGGTAGTGGGGAGATTGAGCCCACAGACAATAGAGACGGGTACCACGGGCACTTTGACAAGTCGACAACGAAACCTGGGAAGACTACTGATGACGATGATGACGACGATGGAGTGAACTTGGGTGAGTGAGTGAGTGATGAGAATTGAAAATTGATGGTCCAGAGCAACCTACTTGGAGAACCTAAACAGATGGGTGACAGGGAAAGATCAGGGTAATGTAGCTTTTTTAAAAAGAGCATTCGAGCAATGGAATGAATGGAAAACCATGATCGCCGATGTATGTCGCAGATCTGGCTCTTGATGATGATGATGATGATGATGATGATGATGATGATGATGATGATGATGATGTTTAACCCGTACACAGTTGCCCCTGAAGCTGTCTTGAGCTCTTCTGTTGCATTGTGGAGCATGATAAGCATTACTGGCAGTGAAAGGGTGAATAGCTATCCTTTTGATTGGGCTGAGGGAGGGGGGGGGTCGGTTTTTCCCCACTGTTATTCTCTTCTGTCATTGTCTATGGCATTCAATGGCATCCGCTCTTTTTTTTTTAAAGTAGGTTTTACTTTACACCCCAGCCTCCCCCCTAAAAATCGACACAATTTAGATTATTTAGTAGACAGGCTTTAAGCCTACCTATCGTGACCAACCTGGGCCAGAGAATGACTCAACATCTCAACGGAAGAATGGAGATACTCAATTAAAATTCTCCATACACTGGAATCGAACTCAGGTCTTTTGCATACAATGACAAAGAGCCTACTGCTGCAACATAAACTTAACAACAGGTTCAAAAGTTAACTGGTGCTTCGCATAATCTATACCGTGCAAGGCTATCCCTTACAAGCGGTAAATTCTCTCTTAACTTATACCTTTCTATACCTTATACTGTTACTGTTATCAAATATTGCAGTTTTTTTAGAAACGTCAGAATCATCTAGTTCATTGCAGACCATAATAAACTTTGGGTTTTACCACTCATACTATCAGTTCAGAACAAACATACATTACTTATTTCTCTTCTGCTTTCTCCTGCTCTCCCATTTTACCCTTTACCCTCTCCCCCACACCCCTTTATGTGACCCCATAACCCTGAAACCATTGTGACCTCCATGACCTCTTTGCTTTGTGAGATCCCCATGAGTACCATCACCCATAATGACTCCGTTACCCTCATGACCACAAAGACACCTTATTATGACTTATGACCCCAGTGACCCAACCATTATGACCTTGATGGTCTCTCAGCTTGACCCATATTGACCCTCCTGACCCTAGTTTCCCTGTTGTATCAAATCATTTAATTATTCATTCAAATGTCAGGTAAAGTCATTTCTGTTTTTAAATTAATGAGATAGATGACGCTATACAAATACCATATTAAAATGTTATGTTATATATCATATTATATTATATTATATTACATTATATTTATTATATTGTATTGTATTATATATGTATATATATATGTTATATTATATTATATTATATTATATTATATTATATTATATTATATTATATTATATTATATTATATTATATTAAACTGTTTTATATTATTACATTTATTGTATTGTTTCATATTGTATTATATTATACTGTATTATATTACATTATTATTATTATTATTATTATTATTATTATTATTATTATTATTATTATTATTATTATTATTATTATTGGTGTTTTTGTTGTTGTTGTTGTTGTTATTATTATTATCATCACCATTAATGATGTTATTATTATGATGATGATGATGGTTATTATTACTATTATTATTATTATTATTATTATTATTATTATTATTATTATTATTATTATTATTATTATTATTATTATCTTATCATTATCAGTATTATCATTATTATCATTATCATCATCTTCATTATTATTATTATTATTATTATTATTATTACTATATCATATTTATCATTGTTGTTATTATTATTATTATTTATTTTTTTATTTTTCATATATCCTCCAGTTTTGATCCTGGGCATTACGGGCAGTGTTCTCCTGGCTGTAATCGTCCTTTGCATTGTCCTGTGCAAACTCCGAGGACGAGATGAGGGCACATACAAAGTCGATGAGACACAGAACTTCTCAGCGCTTCAGTCCAAGAAATCTCAAGGCAACGGCTCTCTGGCGTCGGGCGGGGAGTCATGTACAGGGAAAAGAGGCAAGAAGAAAGATGTGAAAGAGTGGTATGTGTGACAAGAGACTGTGCATACCTCAAGTGTTCTCATTCCAGTATCGCTGTATTTTATTGTCATTTTAGTATTTAAATATATTTGTCTTTGGAACAATTTCAAAGTGGCTAATGTGTTATTGGAGACTTAAGAATTCAACAATGAGTACTAGACAATCTTTTTTTATTTGTTTGTTTAAATCTGAGTAACAGCCTATTTCCATTCGTTCACCCAAGGGGTCACATGGCACTATGGGGAATGGTGAACGTTCAATTATCTCTCACCGCCTGGATGGTAATGGGCTACCCTTTCCCTTTTCATCTGTTGGTCAAGCCAAGGTTCAATTAAGAACAGCTTCTATGTATAAATCAATTTCTAGTTGCTGTAAGGAAAGAACTGTTCACAATATTTGTGTATGGCGTGGGTGGCCTAGTAGTAATGCGCTATATAAATTCAAATTATTATTATTATCATTATTATTATTATTATTATGATTATTATTATGATTATTATTACTATATTTTGAAAGGAAAATATCATACCCTGACTTTTTGTTCAGTTTGGTTACTAGGACCCTGTTGTACCAACCCATGTCATCTATATCCTTCATTTATGTTCCTATCCTCTTATCAAACAGTAATATTATCATAGACAACCTACCCAGGGGAGATTGGAAAAAAGTGATCCTATCTGAGGACAAAAAGTAGACAGTACAGAATGTATGAATATAGGAGGAACAGTTCATGTCTCCAACAGTCCCAGAATGTTTTAACTTCTTCTAATTGTTGTCACAAAGACAGTCAGTCTCTTCAGTCTCTTTCTGCTAAAGCAGCGATGTCAAATTCAATTGCAGAGGGGACCAAACTAAATTAAATAACACGTAAAGTTGCAGAGTGAATTGGAACAACACACATTGAGCAGTAGAAAGACACATCTTTTCTTTTTTTTTTTTAGACTAATGCTATGAATTGGAACAGACAAATTTTAAACAGTTAGGCTTACCAATCAAAGTATGCTAATTTTCTCTAATGCCAATAAGTCAGAGCTGGGTGCTTGGCATCTTGTCTTGGCAACAAGTGCGTTCATGTTTGAAGTATAAAGTTCTGCTAAAATTCTCTTGCTGGCTAGATGATATGTGAGGCATCGTGGTGAAATCAGGTGCTCGTCAAAATAACGAACTCAAAGAGATCGGCATTTCTTTGGCCGATGAGCAATTTTTTTCTAATTTTCTTATTTTCGCTCAACACCTTTTTTGATCATTTAAAAACACATTTTTGTGTGGATTTTTCACATTGATTAAAGGCACAAAAATGTAAACTTTCAGTTTCCAAGGACTCTCAGGCTATGGAAGTTACCAAACTTTGATGGAGATTTTCTCACTGATTTTACCTCTGAAACCAGGCGACTCTGACCACCTTCAATCGCAAATATTTCAACTTCTATTCAACATAGATGGATATTTTTTCACTAAAAGGAAGGCAAATGAACAGGCTTCAAGATAATATCAATAACCCCATACACCCTAAAAGTGAGGCGCCTGATTTCACCACGCCATGACACATATAGTTGTTTGCCAGTCCGGATACGGTCCCCTGGCCTTGAGTTTGACAACACGTGTCCTAGAGTCTCTTGAGAATTATTGAGATTTTGCAGTAGCTGAAAATTTAACACAACTATAACTGGCCTTTGGTGCTCTCTCGGCAATATGTGCATAGTACTCCCAGTCACTGCGTCTTTACTGCATTATAATCTAATGTTGCTGGTTACTAGAATCATTTCTTTGTTGTCATTGTGTGGTGGCTTCATTCATCATCATCATCATTATCATCATCATCATCATCATCTTCATCATCATTAT